GAAAAATGGAAGACAAACATAGAATTGATATTAACAAATATAATGTCTGCCTGAAAGAAAATCTGATTTTACTAATTGAGAATTCAAATTTCACACTTAAGGTCCAAATAGCAGACCTGCCAGCTATGCTTTCAATTCGGCTACTCAGGCCTTACATTTAAAACTCACTCTGATTTGATTTCCAATTCTCTATTTAGTAAACAATCCTGTTAGTAAATATGACTTGCACGTACTGACTTGGAACATGCTCATATATGTTAAAATAAATAAAACTAGCTTTGAAAGAAGGCCTCTCCTATGTCTTTTTGTAACAACATCTATAATTCTTTGTGGAAATAGGAAATTGATTGCCAATCATGCATCTTTTTATTAAATAGCAATTCTATTTTCCCAGCCATTTTATTTCATCCTAAATAACAATGTGGGCTAAGAATAAAATATGGCACGTAGCCAGCGGCAGTGTGAAACTACCAAATCCACCCAGTCTTTAAATCCAAACATAATTTAAAAAAAATAAAAAATAAGCATGATCCTACAGTGCACCGATCTTCAGGATTTGGTATTTGTAACAAAAAATAAATAAAATAAATGATAATAAATAAATCTAGATAAAAGCATCAGAAAACAGGATATCTTTACAATGCAATATTTAAATATTGACCTGGGTCTAGGAGAATCTCTTAGCTTTGCTAAAACACTTTATTCTTTCCATCCTTATTAAAGGGACACTCTAGGCACCCAGAACACCTCATCTCATTGAAGTGGTCTTTGTGCGGTGTCCTTGTTGCGTTAACCCTGCAATGTAAAACACTGCAGTTTTAGAGAAACGGCAATGTTTACATTAGAGGATCTGCCAGACAGCCACTAGAGGCACTTCCTGCAGTTTCACAGAATGTGGCTCTGTGAAACGAGGCTGGCTCTCTAGCTTTGCGTGAGGGCATCCAGCATTTTTGGTCCAATGCTTTTCTATGGGGAAGCATGGGGGGACCTAATGCCCAAAATATACAAATTAGGTCCCCCTTTGGCTGATGTCACAGGAGGAAAAACCGAACCAGCTCCGAGGGACCTCGTTGCTGGAATTGGGTAAGTGTTTAAAGGATTAATAGCCTTTATACGCAGTGGGGTGGGGAGGGGAACACTATAGTGATAGGCATTCAGCCTTATATTCCTGACGGTATAGTGTCCCTTTAAGCTGCAAGATATTTATTTCAGTTCATGCTCCTTTAAACTTAATTAGAGTTCATCTCAAGGGGGATAATTGGACTGATGAGAAATGTCCTGTGAGAATAACATTTCCACATTGTATGTTCTTTCCTCTGTATAACAGAGTGACTTGGAAGTGAAGTTGTTTCATGTGGTTTTGCTTGTAATGATGGGGAACTTAAAAATATCACAAAAAAAAGTCTATGGTCAATCAGGTCACAGTAGTCTCTTCCTCAACTCGTTCAATAACAGTTTTTTTTTGTTTTGTTTCTGTCTACAGTACCTCTTTCTGGTAGTCTAATATTTTAAATAATAACCTACATTTCCTCAAAACTTTTTTTGGGGGGAGATGTGAGATTGGGACAGTTAGGTGGGCACTGTGACGTGATCCATGTCACCATATTGGTTGGGCAAGGCCATAAAAAATGGGCATGTCTGTCCACTGAAGTGGCCTCTCTGGCTGGTCCTCAATTAATCTAGTGATATGCTCACACAGTGCTGCCGAGGACAGTACCCTTGTATCTCTGGATGTGAGACACCAGGGACCAAAACTGGGACGGCAGGACAGGAATCAGGATTGTCCAGACAAAATTGGGTGTGTAAAATGGTCTTTTTGTGTAATTTGCATAATAAATGATTTCTGAATATGTTTTGAATTAATTATGCTCTTTCTTTAGAGAGGATGACCTTCCACCAAAATGTTCCTCAACTACCAAAGTGTTTCACCCGGATGCCTCCTCTTCTGAGCATGATACCTTGACATCAGCCAACACCTACAATGGTCATTACTGGAATAACGCAAAAAACAATTATGCCACTGGATCTTATGTGCACTATAACTGCAACGGCTGCCGTCAACCATCAGCTCGATCAGTTACGGGTCCTGCTCGGCCAACCTATGCTAATGGCGGACAACCTTTACCAGGTCCTCCAAAGACCCTGGTAGTTACAGCTAACACGGCTCCCTCTCCTAAAACTGGTGTGAGGAGCAATGGTACAGTTGGTAGGAAAGCAAAACCTTCCCAAACTAGGTCTTACGCTGTGAGCCAAGCCACGCTGGAGAGAATAGGAGCGGTGCCTGTGATGGTACCAGCCCAGAGCAGAGCTGGGTCGCTGGTATAGAAAGCAGTGCTAGTATAATGGATGTTAGGAACTCATCCTTGCTCCTCTGTCATTTCCTTTTTGTCCAGGCAGTCAAATAAAATGCTGGAACCAGCAAGTCTATTGCTCAAAAGAGATGACAACGCTGGGACAAGGAAATGTGGACAGTTAACAGAGATTAGAACTTATCCTTGCAGTGCCAAGCACAGCCTGAGGACTTCCAGTGCAGAATAGCTTATGTGCCTCCCTTCCTCTCTCTCCGAGATCCTCTCTCACACACACATACCCATTAATGCTTTATTTTTCTAACACCTGCCTTGTCTGGAAAAATGCTTGTTTTTTGAATGAAGATGGTGCTAGTGACCCTCTCGCGGAGCTTCTTCAGCTCTCTAACCATGTTAATAAAGGCAGCAGCCCAACCGAAACAATCTTCTCTCACGTCAGCACTTTATTAAGAAACATGTAGAGCACCCGTCAATGGATATTTGTCCAAGGAATTCTTAGAACTCAAGGTACAGTAGGAGGACTCTTTGAAATAGAGACTCAAGGTTTAGCTTCCCTTGAAGGGCTCATTTAAAACACTTAAATGCTATGTTACCCCAAACACAGTTGGAGTCAATTTAACTGTCACATTATTGTCAATGACATTCATCCCATAGTTGATTGCTCAACTACCGACAGCTTTTTCTTCTTACATACACACAATCCTGATATACACACAATCCTGTTATTTTGCGTAGTTTACAATATTGTTCACTCTATATTAATGTTATTTTGATGTTTTTTCTTTTTTCTTTTATAAGGGTCATTTAGCAAACACATGAATTTCTACCATCTAATGATACCTGCTACTATTCATTTTTTGTTGTGTTAACCTTAGGTTTAATTTGTCTGTATTTTAAAACTTTGTTATTCTGTTACTGGGCTCAGTTAAAGCCCTATGTTTCAGGGCTTATGGAACGTATTAGAGCAATGGAATTGTTTTTTTTTTGTTTACCCATGACTCATTTTATACTTTTGAAAACCAGGTTATAGTCAGTTAATGTGACCCAGAATAAGTATTAAATTCCCATCCAGATTGGTGATTTATTTAATGAGTAAACACCGTGACCATCAATGGTCTGATTTCAATGTGGCCTTTTTCTAAACAATCCATTCCTTCCAACAGAACATGTAGTCCACCAGTATTGAATTTAAACTGCTTGAAAAATCATTGTGGATGGTTTAGTTCTTTAATAACAACTGGAGAGTTACCTGGTGTCAGTCCTTCTATTCAATGGAAGTGAATTGAGATATTTTTCTCGATCAATGACAGATTGATTAGTGAGAATGATTCCTGACATTTTGTCCAAAATATGTGCCTAACAATTGGTGTCTGCATATTTCAAGTCCATCTAAGGTGTTTAACTCAATCTTGCAGGACCCATACTCTCATGTACTGGATGTCATATGGCAAAATGCAGAAATCTGATAGGAAGCAGTTAAAGCAAATTTAATATATATCTCAATGACTTCTTCAAGGTCAATAATATTGGAGTTACCAATATTCTAGATCATTCTACAAAAAGCCAAGTTATCAGATGCCAAATTATGTAACATCACCCCTTTTTAGAGAACTTGTTAAAGCTCTTCCACCACCTACACTCATTTCTGTTGAAATCTACCAACTCATTAACAAAACGTTCTTGTGAGTAGAATAGAAAGTTTGAGAAATTTTGCGAAATCCAAATAACTAAGAAATATACAGAATTCATATACTTAAAAAAATATGCAAATTGAAGATGACCTGTGGATTTCATAGATTTAAAATGCCTAAGGGGGCATTGTCTCAATGCAATCGTAATTATTTTAACCGGTTGGTGGTAGTGCTCATGATTCTAAGCCACCTTTGGCACTCCGGATGTTGTAGACTACATCTTCCATAAGGCTTTTACAACCATACAACCTTGCAACCATAATGCTGGTAAAGCATCAGGGGGAATGTAGTCCGTAATATCTGGAGTGTCGAAGGTTGCCTACCCCGCTAAGCTGATGAGCTCATTGTAGTATGCAACAATAGCAATTTAATTGTGATCAAACAATGTGGTCTGTAGACAGGCATCCATGTAATAGCCGCTCAAAAATCTAACTTCTTAAGATAGCAGTTAAACTTATTAGCCTGTCATTAACTTAATAAACAGAGGCATGACCCCGAGTCGATATGTTAAACAAATCCGCAGTCCTCAGTAGTCTGTATTACTTTATAATAGAACCTGATTGCTATGCTTAACAAGAACAGGGATTTACAGCAGACCTTTCCAAATACCAGTTCCCAAAAAAGTAATTTTGTACTGGTTGATGAAATCCTCCAAAATTTATGCAGGAATTATCTTAACTGTTTTGTTGCTAGCAATAAGGCCATTCTGTAAACTCAAAAAATACTAAATAATTCTAGACACTATTCATTTTCATTTTTGCATACCTCCTCCAAAGTCTGCATTTTCTCAATAGAATGCCTGAATCTTAAAAAATACCACAGGTGCATATTATTCTATATTCTAATGACTTGAATATTTGCAACAAAAAGCTTTGCAAGGGCATTTAAGATGTCACCCCTGGGGTGGAATGCTTAGCAGCACACTGGTGAATATAGCTTGCATGGTTACATACTATTAAATGTATGGACAAAGCTACGGGGACGGGGTGGGGTGGGATGGGATATACTGATTTAGCAATTAATTAATTATATTAGTGACCCAGTAGAAGTTGTTTTTACACAGGTCTTGTCTTACACTGGAAAATGGAGGCGGGTACTTCAATGTCACATATGCCCCAAACTCCAGCTCGTTTAACTATTTATGTGCAGGTGTGGTGCGCATGTCGGCAAGATTCCAGAATTTTGACAAATCAGGTTTGTCTTTTTTCTCAGCTAATATGAACTGCTACTGTTAACCTCAGGCAAATGTTAATTAAATTCTAGGTCAGTGGTGGCTAACTCTCTGTGCATCGTGGGAAATCATGCACTGCCCAAGGCTTGCCATTACTTTTTTAGCCCTAGGGGTTTGTTTACTAAACAGCTCAGTTCTGATGACTTGACAAATACATTGGCCACATGTTGCAGAGTTGGAAAAAGTCTCCAGGATAGTGAGCAGAGCCTGAAACCTTGACAGTGTTTACAGTATGAAAGTAGAGACAACCCCCCCAAAAAATGAAGGATGCTTGCAGGACTGTATTAACATATAAAATATAAAGAGATTGTCCATCCACCTTCTCAATAAACACATGCACTCTATACGTCATATTTATAGCATTGTATAAATCACCTGCCTTCATTCTCAAAACACTTTTTAAAGGCCATATATAATATAGTCTTAATAACTCAATTTCCATCGCTAAGCTTGTTCTGACCATTCAGTGATTCCTTCGGCATTTCCTTGTGAGATTTGCATATCTTTTACTCCATTCCGGCCATAGGCTGGTATTGCTTAGCTCTCTGTGTTAAAGTACAGTAGAGTTGGGTGACCCACCTTACAGTAGACTGGTTTCCAGATATTGCAGTAATCATGTTAGCAATGCTATAGTTTAGCCAGTTGCAGGTTAACGACTACAGAGGCTTCATTAGAGTTTTTTTTTTTTATCATTGCTTGTGCATGACATGTGAGTTGTAACTGTGCTTTGAGTTTGAAAGATTACTTGAAATGTGGGGAGCACTATTAGCAATCAGTATAACTAATGGTAAACTGTAAAAGGCACTATAGTGTCAGGAACACAAACGTATATTTTGACACTATAGTTCTAAAATCACCGTTTCGATGGTCGGCCCCCTTACCTGGGGTTAGAAATGGGATTTACTCACCTTTTTCAAGCACAGTGCGTGGCTCCACATGTCTGTCCCCGTCCCCAGTCCACCTCTTTGGCTGACATCATCAGAATTGATTATCTCAGCTAATCCCAATGCTTCCCCACACTGTGCAGCATTGCCCTAGGAAGCACCTCCAATGACCGTCTAAGATGTGGCCACTAGAGTTGTTCCTTGGCTGTACTGTAAACAGTGCGTTTTCTATGAAAGCCTGCAGGGACTGACTACACTCACCAGAACACAAATAAAAGCATTAAGCTGTAGTTGTTCTGGTGACTATAGTGTCCCTTTAAGATGGAAACTTACATGTAAATGCTACATTCCAAGTAAGTCTGCACCGTCCATTACCATTACCATGCCAGAACCCTTCTAAGCCAGCCAATCCCATGTAGTCATATAAATACAAGGACCACTCGCAAACCTGCAGCAAACCCTAAGCCTGGCATCCATTCCCACCACAACCACCATTAGCAAGCCTAAGTCATCCCTCCATCTGTAACCTGGTAATAATTCCTCTCAGTGAACCAGAGGCAGAAGCCATCCATGCGTAACGTTATGGCTGTAGTTCCTTGCATGCACCTCTCAAAGCTGAACATGAGTCCCTCTGCCACTACACCCCCATCCAGTGATTAAAGTGTTAAAAACCTTTTTTTCACTTAGCCCTTTTTGCTGGCTCAGCCTCCTCCTCATCCGATGTCAGTGTGGTGGGGGAACCTAGTGCCGCGCACGCATTAGGCCTTCCCCCTGGGGAATTTGAAGGGCTGTACGTCCTCATGTACGACATTTAATGTCGTTTCACTGAGTTAAACTCTGTGAAGGGCCAGGAAGCATCTCTAGTGGCTGTCTACTGGACATTCACTAGAGGCTGTCTACTGGACATTCACTGGACCTTCACTAATGGCTGTCTACTGGACATTCACTAGAGGCTGTCTACTGGACATTCACTAGAGACTGTCTACTGGACAGTCACTAGAGGCTGTTACTGGACATTCACTAGGGGCTGTCTACTGGATATTCACTAGAGGTTGTCTACTGGACATTAATTAGAGCCTGTCTTATCATTGCGATATAAACAGTGCAGTTAATATAAACCTTTTTAGATTGCAGTTTCTCTAAAACCTTTTTTTTTAAGCGTTTTAGATTGCAGCCCCAAGGGGACTTGAATGAGATACGTGGTCTGGGTGCCTATACTGTCCCTTTTATTGTTAGCATATCGAAAGAGGTGAATGTACGGAAAATTATTGGAATAATGTCGATTCCTGTTTATTCAACAATGCAACAACAATCCTACCATAAATAAACGGATTATTTCCAAGTAGCAGCAGTAACGTGGCAGTCATTTGAACATTATTTAGTTGATTTATTCAATATAAATATATATCTACAGGGCTTAATATTTGCACTTGTCACTAGTCATTGACTGGTGAGTGCGTCATGGATCCTACAGTCTCTAAATACTATAATCACAAAATAAGATTTTGCTAGGGCTTCCCATCGTCATTGCTGTTGGATGTGATGTGTCATGTTTAGTTGCCGATATGTCTGATTTCATCTTGTGATGTTCCACAATAATTATTAATTTCAGAAAGAACATACAGAATATTCAACATAGATGTGAGCCACCAGAGAGGTTAGCTATCTGCCAATTCTGCAACATGACTATCAGCGCCATACAAACAATAGATGGAGACTTTTTACCATTTTCCAACAGAAAGGGTTAAAGGGCGGGTTATGCTTTGTGTTAAGTTGCTATAGCACAGAACCTGGACATATTCTATTCTATTTCTTTAATTTACCAAGAACAAGCAAGCAGACTATGCAAAGGAGTATAAAGAGTAATCAAGAAAAGTTAGATTTTGAAATTAATTTTATTAATAAACATTTTTGGGGGAGTTTTCTTTTTTTTTGTGTTTTTATTTTTAAATTAAAAACATTGATCGCAAGTAGATTTTTTTCAGCTCCGATTACAGGAAGACAAAATTTGCTTGATCACCACATTTAGGGGATTGTTCTTAGAACACTGATTTGATAGTTTTTTGTTTTTTTTCTAATTTGGCAATTTTGTCCTGAATCTTGCTTGTCGTTTTTAAAATTGCAACATCTTGTTGTTTGGCAACTAAGTCCCCTCAAAGTACTGAATAAATGGGGTGGAACTTACTGACCCAATGTTACATTTTTGTGATATTTTTGTCCCAGCAAACATAAGATGTCATACTCAGCTCTGTCTACAGTGAGTTTGTAAGCGGGAGAGGGGCCGTTCTTCATTCTATGATGTCACTATGTGCTGAGCGGGATCTTGCACATAAACTCTCCCGTTCCCCTTGACTTGAACATGTTAAGTGGCGTGTACTGGCCTTTCAGGGAATCCCAGAACTTCTTATTTATTTGTTTGGTTTTATATTTTGCTTCAAATTTATTTACAGTATATTTTGGTGAGACCTACAGTGTTCAAGATCTGGGGTCTGACAATGTGACATTCAGTCCTTCTGTTGTCTGATGACCAGGATTTTCCTTTAAGGGGCGACGATAGTGGAAAATGTATACGCTGGGGAAAATTGAAACAAATGTTGCCCTGCGAGAGGTACTTTTTATAGGATTCCCCCTGAGAGGAAAAATCTGTTTAATTTTCTGTAGGATCCACCCTTCGTTAAAACCACTATCGACCATTAGCCGTGTTTGCTACTTGCAGATCCAATGTCGGAATGTAGTTACTTTGTCTGGAACTGTTCCCATCTGGTTATGGGATGGTAAAGGTATTTTAAAATAAAAAGCATGAGATCTTTAAATCAGGGAGCATCATCATGTTTAAAGAGCATGAAAACACCTTGCTAGAATCGGTAATTATTTTGTATATTTTGTATAAAAAAAAAGTAAAAAAATGTAAACCAAAAAAAATTAAGGAGTTACTAACGGAAAAGTATTTCCCTGATTTTTCTGTTTTCAGTTCTGTAATATAACAGTTGATAAAAATTATTCTTAAACAATTACTTTGTGGAGTTTTTTGTTTGTGTGATTCTGTTGTGAATGCAAACATGCAGGCGTAGTGGTTTGATAGATCATTTGTTGGGTAGTACTCCCACCTAGTGGACACTTTAAGGATAACAAATACAATTGTATACAAATGTTGATATGTAGACACAATATTAATATTATCATTTATATAATACCAACATGTTACACAGCGTGTCACAATATTATAAAAGAGGAAATGTAACTATTAATGAGACAATTACAAAATGTTACTAGAAACACATGTTGATGCCTGCTAGAAAGAGCTCACAATCTAGAAGAGGTGGGATAAAAAAACACAATAACAAGGATGTGGGATAGTAACCAAGTGACAGGGTGTGAAATAGCAGAATTGAAAGGTAAGAGTGGAGTGTGGCCCTTTCAAAGAGAGCAAGAGATATCATGAGGTTTGTGAAATACAAGTTACTATTGGAGGCCATAACCAGGTCCAGACTGGGGAAAAAAAATTGGATCGGACATTTTTTAATCACAGCGGCCCACTAAGAAGGGGGCGGGGCATAGAGGGTGTGTTTTGTCATCATCAATGACAAGCACACCCCTCATAAAGTGAGCGTGTTGGTTCAATGCTCTTCCAGGGCAGACTATGCGCAGAGCTCTGCTGAAGAGCTCTAGCATGAGAAAAAGGCCCTGTATTTGTTCTGCACAGTGCAAGCAAATTTAATAACATCCTTGCACTGTGTTTCCTTGCAACTTGTCTCTGGTGTCTCTATAAATGGATACCAGGAGATAAAAGGGCCAGGAAAGAGTATTGTGCATGTGTTTGGAGCCTGCTTGTGGGATTACGTGTGGGTAGAATGAGCTGGTCGTGGTGTGCTATTGTGTAATAAGGTTGGTTTTGGTTGTGTTGTGTTTGTGGTGTAATGTAATGCATGTGTGGCTAAGGGCTGTAGAGAGTGTGTGTATAGGGGATGTAGCGAGTGTGTGCATACGGCCTATAGTGTGTGTGTGTATATAGGTGATGTAGTGTTTGTAGGGAATGTATTATATGTTTGGTTACAAGGAATCTAGTGTGTGTATAGGGGATCCAGAGTGTGTATGTTAGGAATGCAGTGTGTGTGTAGGTGGTGCAGTGTGTGTGTGTGTGTATAGGGGTCTAGTTTGTGTTTGAAGGACCCAGAATGTGTATAGGAGGTCTAGTGAGTGTGTGTATTTAGCTTATTCAGAGTGTACATAGAGATATAGTGTGTAAATGTGTGTACATGATCCAGAGTTGGGTAAGGGATCTAGTGGGTGTCTGGAATGTGTTTAGGGGTGTAGTATGTGTGTCAGGGGTGCTGTAGAATATATATATATATATATATATATATATATATATATATACAGGGAGTGCAGAATTATTAGGCAAGTTGTATTTTTGAGGATTCATTTTATTATTGAACAACAACCATGTTCTCAATGAACCCAAAAAACTCATTAATATCAAAGCTGAATATTTTTGGAAGTAGTTTTTAGTTTGTTTTTAGTTATAGCTATGTTAGGGGGATATCTGTGTGTGCAGGTGACTATTACTGTGCATAATTATTAGGCAACTTAACAAAAAACAAATATATACCCATTTCAATTATTTATTATTACCAGTGAAACCAATATAACATCTCAACATTCACAAATATACATTTCTGACATTCAAAAACAAAACAAAAACAAATCAGTGACCAATATAGCCACCTTTCTTTGCAAGGACACTCAAAAGCCTGCCATCCATGGATTCTGTCAGTGTTTTGATCTGTTCACCATCAACATTGCGTGCAGCAGCAACCACAGCCTCCCAGACACTGTTCAGAGAGGTGTACTGTTTTCCCTCCTTGTAAATCTCACATTTGATGATGGACCACAGGTTCTCAATGGGGTTCAGATCAGGTGAACAAGGAGGCCATGTCATTAGATTTTCTTCTTTTATACCCTTTCTTGCCAGCCATGCTGTGGAGTACTTGGACGCGTGTGATGGAGCATTGTCCTGCATGAAAATCATGTTTTTCTTGAAGGATGCAGACTTCTTCCTGTACCACTGCTTGAAGAAGGTGTCTTCCAGGAACTGGCAGTAGGACTGGGAGTTGAGCTTGACTCCATCCTCAACCCGAAAAGGCCCCACAAGCTCATCTTTGATGATACCAGCCCAAACCAGTACTCCACCTCCACCTTGCTGGCGTCTGAGTCAGACTGGAGCTCTCTGCCCTTTACCAATCCAGCCACGGGCCCATCCATCTGGCCCATCAAGACTCACTCTCATTTCATCAGTCCATAAAACCTTAGAAAAATCAGTCTTGAGATATTTCTTGGCCCAGTCTTGACGTTTCAGCTTGTGTGTCTTGTTCAGTGGTGGTCGTCTTTCAGCCTTTCTTACCTTAGCCATGTCTCTGAGTATTGCACACCTTGTGCTTTTGGGCACTCCAGTGATGTTGCAGCTCTGAAATATGGCCAAACTGGTGGCAAGTGGCATCGTGGCAGCTGCACGCTTGACTTTTCTCAGTTCATGGGCAGTTATTTTGCGCCTTGGTTTTTCCACACGCTTCTTGCGACCCTGTTGACTATTTTGAATGAAACGCTTGATTGTTCGATGATCACGCTTCAGAAGCTTTGCAATTTTAAGAGTGCTGCATCCCTCTGCAAGATATCTCACTATTTTTGACTTTTCTGAGCCTGTCAAGTCCTTCTTTTGACCCATTTTGCCAAAGGAAAGGAAGTTGCCTAATAATTATGCACACCTGATATAGGGTGTTGATGTCATTAGACCACACCCCTTCTCATTACAGAGATGCACATCACCTAATATGCTTAATTGGTAGTAGGCTTTCGAGCCTATACAGTTTGGAGTAAGACAACATGCATAAAGAGGATGATGTGGTCAAAATACTAATTTGCCTAATAATTCTGCACTCCCTGTATATATATGTTTGGAATGATTGTGTGTGTGTGAGTGGTGCAGTGTGTTGGCAGGGTTCTGTGTGTATGTGTGAGGGGTGCAGTGTGTGTGATTGAAAGGTGCAGTGTGTGTGATTGAAAGGTGCAGTGTGTGTGTATGAGGGGTGTAGTGTGTATGTGAGGGGTGCAGTATGTGTGTATGTGAGGGGTGCAGTTTGTGTGTGTCTGGGGTAAAGTGTGTGTGTGTGAGGGGTAAAGTGTGTGTGTGTGTGTGAGGGATAAAGTGTGTGTGTGAGAGGGGTGCAGTTTGTGTGATGGATGCTGTGAGTTTGATGGGTGAAGTGTGTTTGTGTGAGGGTGATGTGTGTGTGTGTATAGGGGTCTAGTTTGTGTTTGAAGGACCCAGAATGTGTATAGGAGATCTAGTGAGTGTGTGTATTTAGCTGATTCAGAGTGTACATAGAGATATAGTGTGTAAATGTGTGTAGATGATCCAGAGTTGGGTAAGGGATCTAGTGGGTGTCTGGAATGTAATGTGTTTAGGGGTGTAGTATGTGTATATATATATATATGTATATGTTTGGAATGATTGTGTGTGTGTGAGTGGTGCAGTGTGTTGGGAGGGTTCTGTGTGTATATGTGAAGGGTGCAGTGTGTGTGATTGAAAGGTGCAGTGGGTGTGTGTGAGAGGTGTAGTGTGTATGTGAGGGGTGCAGTATGTGTGTATGTGAGGGGTGCAGTTTGTGTGTGTGAGGGGTAAAGTGTGTGTGTGTGTGTGTGTGTGAGGGGTAAAGTGTGTGTGTGTGTGTGTGTGTGTGTGGGATAAAATGTGTGTGTGAGAGGGGGCAGTTTGTGTGATGGATGCTGTGAGTGTGATGGGTGAAGTGTGTTTGTGTGAGGGTGATGTGTGTGAGGGGTGAAGTGTGTGTGTGTGAGGGTAATGTGTGTGTGTGGGTAATGTGTGTGAGAGAGTGCTGTGTGTGAGGATGATGTGTGTGAAAGTGCTGTGTGTGAGAGTGAGAGTGCTGTGTGTGAGGATGATGTGTGTGATAGTGCTGTGAGTGAGAGTGCTGTGTGTGGGGGAAACCATGCTGCCATCCCTGATGGTACTAGTGGTGAGTGAGTGCGAATCTCGCTAGAGTAACCCGGCAGAGCTACAAGATAGAGCTTCTTCTTGTCCTCTCCTGTCTCCTTCCCTCTCCAGCCGTCGGCCGCATGTAACTGCTTGTGGGCCAGTGAGGGAGATCTTTGATCTCCCCACCGGCCCGTCATGGAATGCAGAAAGGCCAGCGCTCAGATAGCGCGGACCCTGCATGGACTGGCTGGGGAGGTGCTGTGACCTCCCCTTCCGGCCTCGGCCGATGGACCTGATGGAATACACCCAAAGTTATTAAAAGAGCTTAGTGGTGTACTAGACAAAAACATTAACATATTTATTTAACCAATCATTGTTAACAGGAGTAGTCCCAGAAGATTGGAAGTTAGCGAATGTTGTGCCCATTCACAAGAAAGGTAGTAGAGAGGAGTCGGGCAACTATAGGCCAGTAAGCCTTACTTCAGTAGTGGGGAAAGTAATGGAAACCATGTTAAAGGATAGGATTGCTGAACATCTAAAAACACATGAATTTCAAGATAAGAGACAACATGGGTTTACTTCAGGGAGATCATGCCAAACTAATCTTATTGATTTTTTTGATTGGGTAACTGAAATAATAGATCAGGGTGGTGCAGTAGACATTGCTTACCTAGATTTCAGTAAGGCTTTTGACACTGTTGCACATAGAAGGCTTATCAATAAATTGCAATCTTTACGTTTGGATTCCAATATTATTGCATGGGTAAGGCAGTGGCTGAGTGACAGGCAAGAGAGGGTTGTAGTCAATGGAGTACATTCGAGGCTTGGGCTTGTCACCAGTGGGATACCTCAGGGATCTGTACTTGGACCCATTCTCTTTAATGGTAAGGTATGTCTTTTTGCTGATGATACTAAGATATGTAACAGGGTTGAAGTTCCAGGAGGGATAAGCCAAATGGCAAATGATTTAGATAAACTAGAAAAATGGT